AACAATATACTGGGATGTATTAAATGCCACACTGGTGATGGATTACTTCATGGGCTTGAAATTATTCCTCCCTCACATTCATCAGTGTTTGAGGGACCTTCTGTACCACCCAGCTGTGTTTACTTTTGGGCACTGTCTTGTAAGAGTGAGAAAAACCAAATCAGTGGGAAAGAGTATGAAGGAAGGCAGACAGAATATCTGTTTGCCTTTATTATAATAAGAAGATACTGATGCCCATATTTTTCTGCCTATCCTCAGTGCTACCTACCTGTTTCCATTCCTCAAGAAATGGTGAAGAAAACCTTTTTTTCTTGCATGCAAGTGATCTTCCTCCTACCATGTAACACCTTGCACTTTTTTTTCCTGTTACACTTCATCCCATTTTTTTTTTTTAATGTTAGTCAAGGATATTTTAAATTTGAATTCTGTCTTTCTCTGAGAAAGTATCTTTTTCTTTTGATCGTGATATAGAAAACATCAAACCAGTTGCAAGAGAGAGTACATTCAAGCTTGCTGTGACTTAGTGCTCACAGCACTGCCTGCCAGGACTGCCTGAAGTTCTCTTCCTAATTCGAAGTGATGTAGGATCAAAATCAGTGACTCCAGTTCTCATGTGTCTTCAACAAGTGTTTAAACCATCAGTGTACTACAGATACAGAATTTCAACAGGGTTCATTTAATTTTGAAAAATGAAATTGGATTAAAGAATTTTATCACTAGACCTATGAGATGTAAATGTTGCTGGTAAAATACTAGTCTGTATTGTGGTGGTTCCATGGGGAAAAAACCCTTCAAATGTGGTTCTTAAAGAATTATATTTACAAATAAAGGTAATTTATAAACTAAATTTAGCAGATAAAAATTGAACAGCAGTACCTTTGAAGCGTGTGTTTGTTAAGGATGAAGAACAGGAAATGGTGATTTTTTTTTTCTGGAGAGCCAATGTAACTCAATGCAGAGGATTTGCATTATATTTACATTTGCAAAGTAGGGAAAACTCCAGATGATCCATTTTTATGAGGATCTAAGACACTAATGCTTCGTTTAGTTTGCAAAATGAATGATCACAATTGCTAAAATACACTTGGAGAGAGGGCATAAGAGAGACGTTTGGAGTTACTGAGAACTTCACAGTTTAAATCAAAATAGTACCACTGCACTACTTGTACTCTGACATCTGCTCTGAATGCATACAATACCTTTATTTTATTGTGAATAAATAGGGGTTTATTATGAATCTCATCTGAATTCCCTGATGATCTAAGTAAGAATCTTTTCTCTCTTCAAACAGTTACTATCGTGAAAAGCCTGACAAATACTGCTATAATGCATTAGAGGAAAAAAGTGGACATAAATAAGTGAATAGTTTCTATAGGAAGCCAAGTACACCTCAACACCACTTTTAAACTCTGCCTTATTTTTTTGCAAACTCTTTCGAAATAAAAATTACAGTACTGAAGGCAAGTATTTTATGCTAGTAAAACTGAAGTTTGGCTTAGAGATGCCTGCTTTGAAGCATAATTTGCATCTGTGAGCTTTAAACTTCAGATGCAGCACATTGGAAGAGTTATGGTACACTGAGTAGGGTCCCAAAACATTATGCTGAATAGAGAGTGCTTTAAAGCAAGTACACTGGCTGGGGACCTGCTTAAGTAGTTAACAATAAAACTGATAAAAGGATTCATCTGCCTCTCTAGAGGTGGATGTTTTTTCTCTGTGGTATTGACAGGTTTTGAGCTGTGTTGAGAAAGCAGGTTTCAGTGTTTTTTCTTTCATTCAAAAGCAGAGTAGTCTAAGCTTTCTTCAAAGTCACAGCTACTGTGATGCTTGTGCTACTCATCTCCTTTTCTTTTCCTCCCACCACATAGCGAACATGCACATGCACACCCACACACTCCTCCTCCTGGAGCCAGTGTCTAGAAAACTCTCAGAGATATGAAAGTCAACATTTAATTTCCTCATCTGCCTGAGTGAATTTAAATTTGTATTTCCCCTACCTCTCAATGCAAGCACTGAAATCCTATTGAGATGCAATTTCCTCATAGTTTTTAGTACAAAACACATTTGGCATACGGTCTCTAACGATACTACCTAATTCTGGGGTGTTATTTTGACTTTTCAGTCCACAGTTTCTGATACCAGTTACTACAATGTCTACTGTATAGACAGTTTTTAAATAAGAAATCAAGATGAACGTTGCATAGTTAAAATGCTGGATATACATATACATGAAAAGGCTAAGTTCTCATTAAAAGATTCTTGTTTGAAGAAGCACTCTGTCTGGACTGGGATTTTCCCACTAGGGTTATGTATACCATCTCTTTAACACAAGGAGAGACCAAGAGAATGTGCTGAACTTTGATTCAAAGGCATTTAAAATGGTCTAAAAAAAAAACAACTTGAAGGCTGAGAGAAATCAAGATTAATCTTATTGATTCTGAAAGCAAATACGGTATTGCTGCACATCATCTTGGATCACATCACGAGTTAGATAGAGTATGAGGTAGGTATTGGATTTTTAATAGGAATAGATGAGCTTCAGTGAGACTTCTAGTTGTAATAGTGTAATGGAAAATGCTAAACTATTTAATCTGTCACTCTGCATATTTTATTCAGTTACCTGATCATCTGTTACAAATGAAACTTCAGAGTTTTTTTCATTGTTTCTCTTCTAAGCATATGTAACCATTACTAGCTGGAGAAGAGTTTTGGGTTAAAGAGCTCTCCCGAGCTCTGTTCTTTCAGTGTTTCTAAAAAGCGTGCTCTGGTACATCAGCAAAAGTAACTGCGGTCACCAGTCCAGGTGGGATAGTGACGCACAATCTCTGGACAGCTGCGAAATTCAGGGACAGTGGTTTTTCAGTGCTGTAGCTCTACTCTTTGAAAATACTTGCTGTTGGGCAGCATAGCTTTTAAGTGGATGATATTGGCGTGGCTGTCATATGTTGTCATTCACAAAAATGTATTGATAAAGACCTTATAGCAGCCTCCCAGTACCTAAAGGGGGCTTTCAAGAAAACCAAAGAAGGACTTTTTACAAGGGTATGTAGTGATAGAACAAGGCAGAATAGCTTTGAACTGGAAGAGGGCAGGTTTAGATTAAATATTAGGAAGAAATTCTTTACTGTGAGGGTGGTGATGCACTGCAGCAGGTTGCCCAGAGACGGTGTGGATACCCCATTCCTGGAAGTATTCAAGGCTAGGCTGGATCAGGCTTTAGGCAATCTGATCTAGTTGAAGGTGTCCCTGCACCCTCTCGGTGGGTTGGAAGTGGATGATCTTTAAGGTATCTTCCAACCCAATCCATTCTATGATTTTTCCACTATAAACTTTGGTGGGATCCATTACAAGCTGAAGATGCCTACATATGGGTGTCTGCTACCATGACCAGTATTTGTATCACATTATAAACATGGAAATCTTGTCTTGCCTCCAACTAGAAAGGACCTGGATATCCTAGGAAGCCTTTGTCAGCTTTACATGTTCAGAGGTCTTAGGATATCAAAGTGGCAGAAGTGACCTACATGGGCACAACTGCTTTGAGCCCAGGGAAAGCTGAACTACATGACCAATTCACCTGAGCAACTGCTTTGTGTATAATTCAGGATAAATTTAATTGCTCTCTAGGCTGCATTTTCTGTTTCTGCTATAAGGGAGTTTTTGACAATCAGTTGCTTCATAGAGCTACACCAAATCTAAGTGTCTTAGGCTTAAGCTGAACCTGCTTTTAAAGACAAAAAGGTTTTATTGACAATCAGCACACCTTTCTCCCTAATTTTGCATAAATAAAAATATTCCATATGAAGCTAATGTTTCATGTTTAATTTTATTTTAAAATCTCTCAAACTTTCATTCAGTGCACAGGACGTTTCTTCTTTTATTCTTCCATTATTCAGTTCTTGACGCAATCTACTAATTAACAAACTATAAGTGAACAACTTGATTTTAAATCTTTTAAAAACAAATGCTGCAACTAAAACTTAAATTATGCTTGATTTTTCTTCACTTGCATAAACTGAATTGTTGTGATGATGCAATTATATATATTTTAAATTAATAAACAAATACTACTTTTAAATATGATCACTCATTTCAGAACAGGTGTTTTGCTTTTTCTCTTCTATTCAGTGATTGGAAAGTTCTGAAATTTCATTAGTCTGCATATCTTAACAAATAGCTGTAAGCAGTCCTAATGCCACAGTTTTTGTTTAATGAAATATCTGACTGAATATTAGTGGGAAATTTGCACTGAATATTAGTGGGAAATGTAAGTAAATAAATCAGAAATTAAAGTAGAATTTATTTTGTGCTATTCATGGAGAAAACGTTTTTTATACCAAATACTTGACTATCCTATAGATTTTACTAGTTATTAGTCCAGAGATGAGCTTAAGAAATGTAAGTCCATCTTGATTTAAAAAAAAATAATTTAGCAACTGTACTTAATCATGTGTTTTACAATGTGAAAACAGTTTTATACTTTAACAGAACTCTGTATCTTAATGGCAATGCTTATGAAGAGTACAGTTAATTTTCTGACACAGTGGAAGGAACATCTTGAAGTTGGGATAAACATTGCACTTTGCCACTTCTAGCTGAAACTGTAAAATGAGTTGACATACAAATTATAAATACCTATCTACTTCTAATACAGTTTCATGAGTCTTTGTACAATTAAAGCCAAATAGGACATCGATAAATGGCAGCACTCCTTTGTGGAACAGTACAGTGGAGAAATTTTTGTAAATTTAGGGTTTTTTTTTACTTTTTTGCATATTAATGTCTACTTCAAAGACTATTTAGCCTTTATTTTCAAGTACAAAAGAAGCTTTTTTATGTCTAATCCATTTGAAGACTGAAAAGCAGACCAGTTTTCCACTTTCTGTAAATAACACTCATTTGTATGCTTTTTATGTCTTTAATGGGATAGAGCTTGTTATTCATCATTATGAAATGTTCACATTCTTACATTTTTGTATATGTGTCTTGCTTTTTCACAGACTAAAACTGGTATTGCATTGTTGTATGATGAAGTATCTGAAAATGCTTATGACATCCGACTGAAGCTTACAAAAGAGGTATTAACAATTCAAAAACAAGATGTCATCTGTGTTAGTGGAAGCAATCACAGTGCAAATGTAAGTGCTTCTATATCTCTGTGCTTTCGACTGTGCATTTTAATGTCCTCTGCAGAGGTCCCTTTATTGTATTGGAGTGCCAGAGATTTTATTGCATAGTAGAAATACATGTAATTATCAGTTGTTGGGTCTTTTGTGCATACCTATATATTCTTGCCTGTAAAAACTACTTTTTTGGCCAGGGCTACATAGCCTTTATTATACTATTAAAAACCTTAACAGGAGCAAAAATGTCTATAAAATTACAACATTCTTCCACCAAATACTGTTAGGCTATTAAATTAAGAGAGAAAAAGAAATTATTTCCCAATGAAAGCATTTTAAGAGCAAACTAATACTCCAGAGTCTTCTTAATTTGGGTATCAGACAGGATATCTGTTCAAGGGCATTGAGCTGACTGAGAGAACACTTGAAAGGCACTTATTTCAGTGTAATTCCCTTGCAGGTACAGATGGGGCTTAATCAGTGCCAGCATGTATGTGGTGCTTTTTTCCACCAAAACTCAATTATGCTACTTTGTCAAAGCATGTGATGGCTCTAAGATGTAGAGGAGTCTTCTGTATGACCATTTGATTTTCGCTAAACAAACTAGTGGCATTTTGCATAAGCAATACAGCAAGGGTGTCTAGGTTATCAACATCCCTAAATAGTGTATTTTATTTCCTCATATAGACAGTGTTCCTCTTGAATTTGGGATACCCATTCTTAATTTTGCTGAGTAAAATAAATTTCATGAACTCTACTGGTACTTCCTAGAGTGGCACCCTCCTCAGGGAGGACCAAGGGAGAGTTTTTCTGTCTGCTTGCTGTCTCATGTAAACTTAAAAGCTGACACTTGGGGACATTGAGTGAGTTTGTGATACTCTGATAAGAATTAGAAACAAAAAAAAGTATTAGTGGGTATCTGCATATGTATGTGTGAGTATGTTAGAGAGTCTGCCTATATGACACATGAAAATGTTGCATTCCTACCACAGTAAATATTTATATAAATTGTTTAATATAAGACACACAATAATTTGAAATACCTTTTTGTAGTTTGAAACACCTTTTCATAGTTTGAAACGTTATGTACTGTTTTCAAAAGTTCTCAATGGGACGTTGTGAAACATGACTTGCTCTTTAAGATGTTAAGAAAGGTTGATCCTTGAAAGGCATGTCCATTTCTGGTTGGTTTGCTGAGATAAGTATAAGCCTCCTTCATCAGCTTTGCATATAATATCTACTTCATATACTTTGTACTTCACTGAGAAATATGAAAAAACACAGGTTTGGTTTTTTTTTTTTTTTTTTTTTAGCAGACATTGCTAGTAATGCAGATAATTTGTATGCAAACTAGTTGCAAGAGTCATAGTAAAATATCATGTGACTGCAGTATATGGTGTCTGTGCAATTATACATGGTTGCTGTTTACTCAGGGGTGTTTAAATGCCTTGTGTATGAACTTTCATAGAAAAAGAATCAAAATTCTGTCCTATGTAGCCCTAGGTTACTTCTTGATTGAATCAACACAAGCTGGTTATGTCTGAGAAAATATTGTATCAAATCTGTGTATGTATTAATCAACATCCAAAATAAAGCAAAAAAAGCCCTAGACACCCCCAAACACACAACTAAAGCAGTACAAAATCCCACTGTATACAACTCAAGTCTGCATCTTTCCTTTTAATATCAAGATTTGTTTGATTTTGATGCATTTTATTCCTGCATTTTATGGGTACCCTAAGAAGTATTTTCTGCTGGAAGACAGGGTAGGACACAAGCTCTCATAGTATTTGAGGAGTTGGATTTTGAGAAAAATTCTGGAAAGTAATATACTCTGCAGAGAAGACATACCTGGAATATGCAGCCACAAAGTGAGCCCAAGTTCCTTTGTTGTATTTCATCGCCAGTAATGATCACTCAGCGGTAGAGTCTGGAAAGAAGTGATCACCAGGACTATGGCAAATAGAGACAGTTTTTTCAGGTTGCAGACATGGTGTTAATGTGTAAAAAGTAAGGAAATATAAAGTACAAAGTTAAGTACAAGTTAATTTAGGTTGGAGTTGCAAAGTATTATGTGGTCCTAGGTATGACACCCATTCAAAAGGAATTTCTCCCTCTTCCTACTATTGATAGATAAGTGTGGGCAGTCCTGCCAAGCTACCCTTTCCTGGAAAACATTGTTAAAACTACTTCCTTATTTTCATTAAGTTTTCTTACTGAAGACTCTGAAAACTAAATTTTAAGGGTCTGATCTTTTGTTTTTCTGTGTCCCTTACAAGATCTCCCCAAGGTCTGTTTCTGGAAGTGTTATCTTCAGTCCTCATAGGATCCTGTTGTCAAACTCTAATGAGAAAGGTGAATTAAACCACGGCTTCATGTCAGTATTTGCTTTTTCTGTGTTATACTCTGAACCAAATAGAAACTTTTGGACAACTAGCATTCAATATAAAGGATCATTGAGTGTAACAGGAAGATAAACACTGTCTTTTTTTATAGTATATAATTTTCTAGTATATAGGACCTCAAAAGCAGAGTTTGAAATCAGGTTGAAATAGCTTGTAGTTCTCTAGCACTGATTTTGGTAAGTTTTACATTTACAGTTACATGACATAAATTCTAAAGAGATAAATGCTTTACATTTCAAGTGGTTCAAGAAAATAATTTTCATCATTGTTCTGTATGATTCAAAATATTAATAGAAAATTGTAACATGAGAGTCAGTTCAAGAGCAGTCATAAATGGTCACATTGCCTTACTGATTTATTCTCCTTCTTCTGTACCTTTTCAGTCTAAGGTACTCATAGTTAATCTTTATTTTATACCCATTCATCAAACTAGTTCACTTGCAACAAAAATAGAAGTAACTTTTACCTTCTTTTTGTACTCACCTCAAATGCATAGGAGGGAAAAAAACTTTTGGTTTTAAATTAACTTTTCTTCCTATGTGGAATATGTGTATGGAAAATTACAGGAAAAGAAAATTTTGTCTCTACCTGTAGGAATACTTTTTTCTCCAGCCAGTTTTGAGGGACAACATTTGTGGAATGCGTTTGTTTCCAGCTTCCCTTTTACTGACATGTTCATTAATCCTGAGGAATACTGAAGACAGGATTTACAACTATGCATATTTAGCTCTGCTAGTCTGATCGAGTTCTGAATGCTACAGTGAGGACTGGCAAAGACCTCAGAGATCACTAGAGCTCCTGTTGTGGGTTGGACTTTCAGCAATAGAGATTATTCTCAAGGACAAAAGGCTCCTTCTCTAAAATAACTTCTACTGCCATCATCTGGGTCTATTCTTGATTCATGTTTTGCCATCTACCATTCATTTAAGTGACTTAAAAGTGCTACTTTTAAACATCGAGAAAAATTCTTTGATGAGAAATTGTAGATGTGGCTTTCTGTAATTTAATAACAGTTAATAACAGTTCAGCCCACTTCAGTAGTCCTCGCAATCTTGGACTTGGCGGTAGAGTAATGAGCGAAAAACACGGTCTTTGAAGTTCAAGATGTGTATAGCAAAAATAGTGTAAAATCAACTGTTTCAGGGGAGGGGAGGGAAGGGGAGGAGAGGGGAGGGGAGGGGAGAATATGAAATGCAACAAAGGCAAATGCAGGTTCCTGCACCTTGGGGGAGAACAACCCCATGCACCAGTACAGGCTAGGGACAGACCTGCTGGAAAGCAGATCTTTGAAGAGAGATGTCGCGGTTGAGGCGGGACACGACACAAAACCCTTGTGGATCCAGAGGCTGGAACACTTTATTGCACGATGTCTGCTACTTTTATACACTTTTTAGGCTACACATGTCAACTCTCCACTGGTTCCCACATACATAAATATTCTTCCATTGGCCACTAACGGTGTTATATAACTCTGCTTACTGCGCATGTCACGAAACACATTTTGCTGTGCTCAGCACATTTTACCGGAAAACCATATTGTTACAACTTCCGTGTCCGGGCGTAATTCTCCCCTGAACAAAGGTTCCTGCTAACTTTAATTCTTCCCGAATCCCCCAGGCCAGCTGGGGGAGAGCCACCACAGAGAGACCTGGGGATCCTGATGGACAACAAGATGTCTGTGAACCAGCAGTGTGTCCTTGTGGCCAAAAAGTCCAAAAGTATCCTGGGAGGTATTAGGAAGAGCATTACCACCAAGTCAAGGAAGGTGATCTTGCCCCTCTGCTCAGCCCTGGTGAGGCAACATCTGCAGTGCTGGATCCAGTTTCTGGGCTTCTCAGTACAAGAGAGACATGGAGCTCCTGGAGTGGGTCCAGTGAAGGGCAACAAAGATGATTAGGGGACTGGAGCATCTCTCTTACAAGGAAAGGATGAAGGATTTGGACCTGTTCAGCCTCAAGAAAAGACAACTGAGAGGGGACCTCATCAATGTCTATAAGTATCTGAAGGGAGGACAGAGCCAAGATTTTTTTGGTGATGCCAAGCAATACAACAAGAGGCAATGGAAAGAAACTGATGCACAGAAGGTTCTAAATATAAAGAAAAACTTCTTCACTGTGCAGGTGACCGAGCACTGGAGCAGATTGGCCAGGGAGGTTGTGGAGTCTCCATCACTGGAGGTATTCAAGAACCATCTTGATGTGATCCTGTGCAATGTGCTCTAGAACGACCCTGCTTGAACAGGGAGGTCAGACCAGGTGATCCACTGTGGTCCCTTTCAACTGACCCAATCTGTGGTTCTGTGAATTGGTGCACACTCATAGAAGCCAAGCACAAAAATCCTGAGAGAAATGTCGGTTTTCACTATCAGCGAAGTATTTTTAACAGAAGGTATTCCCCCCCACCACCCCCTGGATTTAAAGTTTAGCAATACTCACAGAAATAAATTAATTGTATGACAGACAGGGGGATATCAGTTTTAGTTAAAGGGAAAACAGGGATTTATTAATTTTTATACTTTATGTTTCATTCAGGTGTGATTTTACTTTAACTTTTTGTCATTCCACATGCTGAAATTTTTGTCTTATATACAGTGGCTCATCCTTAATATTC